TGTCTCTCAAGTGACTGTGTGTCCTCATTGTGTCTGGTCTCAGAGAGCAGCCTACACCACCGTGCTGCAGGAGTGGCTGCGCGTGTCCTGTCACAAAGCCGCAGACACGGCTGTCGTCAAGGCCTACATGGACGCCTTCGCTTCCATCTCCCCTCAGCTGCTGGAGTTTGTGATCAACATGGCCGATGGCAATGGGAACACAGCGCTTCACTACACCGTGTCCCACTCCAACTTCCCCGTGGTGAAGCTGCTGCTGGACACTGGTGAGCTGTGTTTGTATCTAGCTGTGTAGTCCAAGCCAAAATGTAAATGGTCTGGTCTACGCAGGATTTCCTATTTGCATCACCCGCTGTTACCATTGTATCTCTGGCTACATTTAGCAGCTGCTCTTACGGCTCAGCCACCTGCATGGCTAGCTGACTCATTTTGTCACCGGAGCATTATGAATCCTGGGATTGGTTGGCCGAGGAGGATCCACCCATTGGATCCCTCCTTGCTCAGGAATGGAAGGATACATTTGTTGCCCATATTTGAAAGAGCCTTCAAAACAGGGTCACGTAATCGCACCGCTCTGACTCTATCAGTCCTTCAATGCACCACCGAAGGCTGCGGGCCCTGAAAAATGAATTTAGGAGAAATCAGAGGATAAAAGGGATGAGATTGAACAAGACTGATTTAAGCCTGAATGAGAATAACCTGTGGTGTGTTTTCTGTTTTCTTGAAAAGAAAAAAAAAGCACATTTTGAAATAATGACAAAAAATAATTATCAAATTATCATCAAGCTAAATATATATATATAAAATTCTGTCTCCCAATAAAAACTTTATCCCTGCTGTTGTCTTTGCTGCTGTTGTTTCTTCTCTCACACTGATTTCCATTTGCACATTACAGGTCTATGTAACGCTGACAAGCAGAACAAGGCGGGCTACACAGCCATCATGCTGACAGCTCTGGCTGCCTTCCACTCTGACAGTGACCTTCAGACTGTCCTGCAGCTGCTGCGCACAGGGGACGTCAATGCCAAGGCCAGCCAGGTGTGCCCTCTACTGCTCACTAGCTTGTATTGCAACTCCATACACGACCAAACACCCCTCAGAGCTGTAACAGTGTTTGCAGGTGTTGTTTGTCGTGATGCAGAGCAGGGTTTGCTGTGCAGATGCACACTGCAGCATGTGAACATACGACAGTCGGTGATGTTGTTTGTTGTTGAAGATGATGTTACATGTTTTTAATTGATGTGTGTTTTGTAGGCTGGTCAGACAGCGCTGATGCTAGCAGTCAGCCACGGCCGAGGGGACATGGTGCGGGCGCTGCTCTCCTGTGGGGCACAGGTCAACATCCGTGATGATGACGGCTCCACAGCACTCATGTGTGCCTGTGAGCATGGTCATGTGGACATTGTGCGTCAGCTACTGTCTGTGCCGGGCTGTGATGCCACTCTCACCGATAATGTAAGTCTAGTGTCTTCCCTTCCTACCTCTTCCTCTTTTTTCGGACAAACCCATGATCGTTTTGTTGTGGTGTTTACAGGACGGCAGCACTGCGCTGTCCATCGCCCTGGAGGCCAGCCAGAACGACATCGCCGTACTTCTTTACGCTCACCTCAACTTTGCTAAGCCTCCTTCTCCAGTGAGTGTTCTCGCACACACTAATCAAAAGTGACATTCAACAACAAGTCAAATCTGTCAAAGACGACGTTTCATTGTGTTTCTGCAGTATACATGGCACAGCCAAACATATCAATCAATACAACTTTATTTACATAGCATCTTTCAAATAAATCAAATACAATTTAGTTACAAGTGATTGACAAACTGGATTAAAACATACATATTTCTAGACTAAGAGCTACTGAATAGCCTGACACTCTTACATCACAGAATAGTTCTCATCTATAATACCTTTGTTGTGTTTTTGTCTAGGTTTCACCTAAGTCTCCTCTCTTGGGCTCGTCTCCTCCTTCCGGTGAAACGAAATAAACCACGCTCATTCAGTATCTCAACAGCCAATCCACTGCAACTGCTCATATCACAGTGTGATCTTTTTATTTCATTGTGTAATTAAGAAACTTTGTGTTTTTGTGTTTGTGTGAGTGTGTGTGAGTGTGTGTGAGTAAGACTGTTTGTTTCCACCCTCCATAATTTAAGATAATTACATGACAGCTTGCACCATTGTTATCTATTTCTCTTTGTACACAGTCGTCTTGTTTTTTTTGTTTTTTATCACAGTGCTTCTTAAAAACATGGATTTCTTGTGTGGTACAATCTGAAGAAGTGGACATGTAGACAGGCTGTATAAACATCAGTGTAGTGTGAAAATAATCCAGCTGTCAACAGTTTTTAGTGGCACCATCAAAACTCTTCACCATAATCACAGTATACAGTTGTTTCTATTTCACACCAATCTCATATTAGTTTCTCTCTGTTGTCAATGTAATTCATACAATGGTTGTTCCACAGTAGCATCATTATGTGTGACCATCACAGTTATTTGGAATAACAAAAGCCAGTTAATCTCACATCAGATAAGTGTCCTTGCATCAACTAGCTCATTGGTGCTACAAAATTCAACACAGAAAACACGGTTTAACAATATAACAATATTTATACACAGGATTTATTTACACAAGAGTATTTTTGATAGTGATTTTTTTAATCCATGACCTTCAAGAATCATGATTTTTAATTCCCAGGCAATTACACCTTTTAACCAGAGGACAACATTTTTATTTTATTTGTCAACGACATTTTCGAGAGATGTATTTCTCCTATCAGCTCTGTGACGCACTGTATAACGTGGTGATAAGATGAACACAGGCCGAGCATCAGTGTGGAAGAAGAGACGGGTCATTGTTATTCTCTGAAGGCTACGGTACTTTGGTCTTTGTAATTTTTTAGTGAAGGTAAATAGGATGGTTGTCAGGAAAGATTAGAGCGTGTCTGTGTTTGTAATATTCTGTGCTTAAAAGATTTAACTTGAGTAACGACTGAAGGCGCTGGTGAAGCCGCCTCTGCCATGGTAAGAATCGTCAGGGAACTAGGAAGTGACTGATTGGGGTCTATAACGGACGTGACATGTAAGATATGAATTTCAAAATAATATATGTCAATATAAACTGCCTAAAATCAAATTCTCTAAACAAAAGTGCACAGGCTATTGATGTCAAAATTTATATTACTTTTTAAAAGTTTTTTCACAATTTTCATTTTTCACTTTTAAGCAGTTCAACTTTTATAAACTTCAAATTTTTTAATTTAAGTATCTATCTTTTTTATACATGTAGAATTTTTAAGCTCACGCTGACTTAATATAACCACACAGCTCTTCAGTTGTTGTTTTATGAAGGTTTATCTGAAAATCCAGTTTGTGTTGCTTCTCTTGTGCGTTTTTGGAAAACAAATATTAATAAATGTGGACCACACTGTTTCTATTGCATTTATTTTTTTAGTAATGCTTTAGTTTGCATGTGAATTGCCACCAGTCGCTTAAAATATGGTTATAAAATGTTTCTCATGATGAAAATGTGTCTCTCATGGGAAAGCAGAAACAAACCTTTTATATGTTTTTATGTGTTTTAAGACAGACTTGATTTCAGTCAAATGTTTAACTCATATTTGATATATTATTTGTAGTTCATGTTGAAAAAAACGCAACTAGAGGGCGCCATAGTTCTGCCCTCAGCCTCCAACACATCCCTGAGCAATAATTAAGATCCAGGACAATCATCATTGGGCCTAAAACCATTCACTCTGTCTAAGATTAAGTTACCTGTTTAAAAATCATTCTTTACATCAGTATCATCCGGTCTGATATGAACAAAATTATATATTAAAGATTACTTTCCCCATGACTGTCATCAGAAAATAACAAACATTATTTTAGAAGCCTTTGAGGGATCTTTACTCTGCGGGAATAACAGGGATGAACAGTGGTCACTGTTTACACGATGGTATTGTATTATTGTCCCTATTTGTAAAAGTGGCTTGTAACAGGTGGATGTCTGCTCATGATGTTGATCGTAGATTGAAACAACCTTAGAGCCGGTTCCACTCTTCTCAAGTGATTCTGCAGGAAAAGTAAGTAAAACCTGCAACGTTCACATGTTCACATTGAGTGTTTGTAGGTTTAACCACACAACAGCAACAGAAAAAACCCAAACACTGATATTTTAGCTCATTAAAGGACTGAGAGCTTGATGTCTTAACACACCCTATTTATTTATATGTATGTATATATGTATTTATATATGGACATTACTGCCAATATCCTCATCGGTGTGTGGTGACACATGTTATGTGTATAACATACACATATGAATAAATAGATATATACGTTTTTAATATGTATCCACTCTTTTTCAATTTGTGTATATTTGTACTTAGATATAAGTAAAACAGGGTCATGGCTCCAGCTGCTGTCCTCAGACAGCTGCTTGGCTTTGGGAGGAGTCAGTGAGATAACATACCGGTGTAACCAGTGACATCTGTCTGCACCATATAGTGAGGTTACACCCACCAGCCAATCACAAGTTAGCTTGTTATTCTTCATTTGATCACACAGACAAACATTCTCGATGATCTAAGTCATTTCGTTTATGTAGGCTGAATTCAATTAGACCTGCTTTCATGTGCGCATAAACTACAAGTGAGTGAGTCCAGTGAAGACAGCAGCTTACTTACATTATAGACGTCAGATAAACCGGGAGAAAAGAAACAAAGCTTATCTGTTGCTGCTTGGATCCACCCTCACTGCTGCAGTGTGCTGGCTCGGATAAGCCTCAGAAACTCACCATGTTGGCAGAAAACAGAAAATGACGTCACTCATCACGCTGGAATATTTCCAACTGATAAGCAAATCTAATTATTTTATTTGGTTGCAGAGTTTTTAAATCAGTTTGAATTCGACCTGATTGGTCTCTTTATCTTTTTTCTTTTAAACAAAGGAAGCCTTTCCGTTCGTCACATCTGACAATACACTACAGTCAGTAATACATCTCATACAGCACTAATGTCATTTTTTGCCTGTTATAGTTACTGACAATAATTAAAAATGGACAAATTTTTGTCCCAGAGCCACTGTGGAAGGTTTTTTTCATTAATCTTGTTGAAGCCGCAGCTCACCTCATGCAACCTATCTTGGAGGTGGTCCTGGGTGTGCCTACACTTGACTTGAGTATAAAACCCCCCACAGTTTGAACTGATAATGCAAACAGTCTTACTACAGACAAGATGGCCAGTCTCACTGCTAAGGACAAGGATACAGTCAAGGCCTTCTGGGCCAAAATATCCTCAAAGTCCCAGGACATTGGTGCTGATGCTCTGAACAGGTAAATATGAGCCAAACACTGACTGATGTAACCTGTCTGAACTTTGACTGACTCTCACTTTCTTCTCTTTTCTTTTCTGTCTTTCTTTTAAACCCAGGATGCTGATCGTGTACCCACAGACCAAGACTTACTTCTCCCACTGGAAGGACCTGAGCCCSGGCTCTGCCCAGGTGTTGAAGCACGGAGCGACCGTCATGGGTGGAGTTGATTATGCTGTGACCAAACTGGACGACCTGAAAGCAGGTCTTCTGAACCTCAGTGAGCTGCACGCCTTCACCCTGAGAGTGGACCCTGCCAACTTCAAGGTACACAACTTAAAACCTGTAATTCATATGAAGCACCTGTGACTGTGGACTCTGTTTATTGTTGTACAATGATTGTGTGAACACTGTTTCCTTCAAATAACCTGATCTCTGTGTAGGTCCTACATGAACTGTAGTAGAGTCTCACCTGACAACACAGAGAAGTGGGTTAGGAGTTAAAATCCCCATTCATGTAACATGTGTGATATTTATTTTCACAGATCCTCTCCCACAACATCCTTGTGGTCATGGCCATCATGTTCCCGGATGACTTCACCCCTGAGGTCCATGTGTCTATGGACAAGTTCCTGGCTGCTGTGNAGCCAGAACGCAACCACAACCGACTGAGAGCAAGAACACAACCGACTAAGACACAGAGACGGACAGACACACATACACACAGACAAACACAAACCTTCAGACAAAAACACACTTACACATAAAGGGACACACACACACAAACACACACACACACTGAGACACACACAGACACATAGAGACACGCACACACACACACACAGAGAAACACACACGTGCACACACTATCAGACACACACACAAACACACACACACACACACACACTCAGGTGTTGCGTCATCAGAGGTGTGTGTCTGTTCCTGGAACAGCTGCAGTAGTGAAACTGCTGACTGTCTCTTTAATGACCACAGCTGTCGTCATGGTTTCCTGGACTGAGAAGCCTGAGACGACTTTCAAAATAAGAGACAAAACAGAAAATGTATCAAACTTACTGGAACTGTCGAATTAGATTCTTTTCTGTGGTCACAGAAACCTGCCGTCACCTTGGCAACTGTCAACGTCACCTTAGCAACAACGTAGCTCTCATCACATTTATTTGCAGCGGTGGCTCAGGAGGTCATCCACTAACCAGAGGGTCGGGGGTTCAATCCCAGTCTCCCCCATGGTGCGAGCCAAACTGTCTTTGGGCAAGATACTAAACCCAAATGTCCGTGACAGAGAAGAGCTGCACATAGAAAACTGTCAAGAGTTTAGAGTCAGACCACAAAACAACAAGATTGTTGTCACTGACTGAACGTCTGAGTTGTCCAGACTTACATATCCCAGCATGCACCTTGTCAGAGAGACCAAAGTAACACAGTATTTCTGTTGAGGATGGTGCCACCATCTGGACCTTTTCAAAATAAAAGTGATTTCATGAAAACTGGTAATTCTCTGCATTTATTATTATTATTATTAACACAACATTTTAATACAAAAGAAAACCTGGGTTGTCATGACGACATGTTGAAGATCGAGTTAAAAAGGTGCTCAATAAGTAAATTAACCATTTCTGGGGTTTTTCATCTAATTATGAACGAGATTGAAACAAGTTTAACAACAACAACAACTTCACCGTGATAACAACAATTTCATGGAGGATGGTGATGGGGGAGGGGAAGGGCCTGCTCTTCTTTCAGCTCAGCAGGTCTCGGCTCATAAACGTTGGTTCTTTTGTTCACACTCAGTCGGCAGCAGGACACAAACAATATGAAACCCCAGAATGCACTCTGATGTCTGCCCCCCCCTTCAGTGGCTGAAGTTAAAATCTGTCTGATGAAATCAAACGTTCTTTAAATATATCTGAAGGAAACACAACCATCAATGAACTGATCAAATGAATTTAATCATTTTTAAATCAAACTATTATGACATTTACAACCACGCCCACAACATTTTAACTTTTTTTACAAGACGACAACAAGCTGTCATCTCGTCACTGAGCTGCACCGAGCGTCAGCGTTTACACTTCTGTTGGCATTACATTATAATAAGAGAGAGAGCGTGTGTGTGTGTGTGT